AAACTGCCCTAAGTCAGGCAACCAGCCAACATAACAAAGGGCAAATGAAAAACTCGAGGAACAAGAAACTCACCACCTCGGCAAATCGAGCAGCCTGCTCAGCTGTCTGGTCTCCTATTCCAGCAGTGGCCACCCCGACCTACAAAAGGAACCACCTAATCTCAATAAACCTAACTTAGTTGAGACAAAAGGAGGCTTTTGGGGAAAAGAGATACTCACCTCGGCAGCCTGCACGACGGGCTCAACAGTCTGAGCCACCTCTTCAGTTGCCACCTGGGGCGGTAAGGTCCACCGCATCAGCATCGGCGACCCTAGAGGTCACCTCCTCGGCATCTGGGGGAGCGGAAGATCCCTCAGTCTCTTTCCCCCCCCCCCCCTTTCTTTTTCGGCTTGCCTTAAGGGGGGGAGCTTCCTCCTCAAGGAGATCGGGAACCTCGAGCTCGGCAACATTATAGCGATGCTTGAGCTCCTTTCACAAGTTCCCCATGCGATCTGCAATCAAAAAAGGGAAACACATCAGCAAAAGGGAAAACACACAAAACCCTAACAGGCGATCGAGGATAAAATACTCACTCTCTAGGTCCCTCTCCCTATGTGCCGAGCTCTCGAGCGACAGGATGAACTTGATATCCAGCGGCCGAGGAAGCGCCTTAAGGTCCTTGATGACTAACAACTCCGCAGCCGTCAATTTCACTTGCCCCTCCCCGTGAAACCTAGACGGTTTGGGGCACCAATAAAAAGGGAACTTCGGCAACCCACCGAAGTAAAATGCACCATCCTCAGACGGGTCAACATCCACCAGGGCGACCCGAAAAAACTCCCGCTTGAAATTTTTATATGATTGGGAGTAGAGGGTAAACAAACCCCCAGCCTTACTCCCATTTAGAGACAGAATGCCGTAAGGCGGAACGCCTATCTTCAGTTGGTGAAAATGAAGAAAGACGGGAAGAGACACTTCTATCCCTAAAACTGTACAAAGGACCTCGAAGGCCCGCAAAAAACCCCAACTATTGGGGTGCAACTGGCAAGGAGCCACGTTGGCATAATTCAAAAAATCTCACTCAAACTGAGTGAAAGGGAGACGGACACCTAGGTCCCTGAAAAAACACCAAAACATATAGAAGTGGGGAGGGTCAGTTGACTTTCCCATGTACACACCTTCCCTGGCCTGACAAGGTTCAAGCCGGAGCATCGAAGAAACGAAAGAGTCACAAATCCATTGCGACTCCCAGGCCGCGTCGACATCGGAGCGCGACCGAAACATGCTTTCAACCCCAGCCATGTCACGCTTGACCTAGTCATAGCCAGGAACCCCAGGCACCGGATCCTTGAGCGGATCAACTTTCGCGGCGGCGGCCTTTCTGGTGACCACCGCCTTACCCCGCGCCTTGCCTTTACCCTTAGCAGGCGTGGAGGAACCAGCACTACTCTCCCCAGCCATAGAGAAGAAGAAACGGGAAAGACTCAAAAAAGATTTGGGAAAAAAGGAAAGGAGAGAACAGTAGAAAGGAAGTACCTGGTACTCCTCCTCAGAATAGAACCCTAAACAACAAAAGGGTTATCGGAAACGACGACTGAAAGGAGGACGGAGGACGATCGAAAGTGGGAGAAGCGATGTACGCAAGAAGTTGAAAGAGCAAGAATGAGCAAAGTGAAGAAGAGAAAGGCGCGAGTGAAGGGAAAAGGGGTCCCCCAAAAATTCAAACGGCCGCGACACGTGTCAGCCAAGGGACACACCTGAACGCGCAATAAATGAGACCCATTATGACAAAAGGAGCCATCATTGCATAACCGTCACACCCATCAACACGCAGGCCTCGGTTACTGAAACGAGAAGCGACACGCGGCGTGATGAACAAGCCAGCGTACCCGAAAAGTCACTCCCCTTGGCGAGCTCGGACTCAACTACACTGCCCGATCTGTCAAACCAAACTCGGAGCTCGGCTTCATGGCACGGGATGACCCCGGGCGTGTGATACGCGATGTCAGCTCGGCATTTAAGCAAACCGTAAGCGATCAAAGATCCTCGCCCCAGGCAAAACCTACCACTCAACCTCGGGACTACACCTTCCCAACCAAGGTCGAGTCCGAACCTTGAGACTACACCTTCCCAACCAAGGTCGAGTCTGAACCTTGAGGTTCCACCCTCCTAACCAAGGTCGAGTCCGAACCTTGAGATTCCATCCTCCTAACCAAGGTCGAGTCCGAACCTTGAGATTCCATCCTCCTAACCAAGGTCGAGTCCGAACCTTGAGATTCCATCTTCCTAACCAAGGTCGAGTCCGAACCTTGAGATTCCATCTTCCCACCTAAGGTCGAGCCGGAACCTTGAGACTACATCTTCCTAACCAAAGTCAAGGTCGACTTTGGCAGGTTGCGTCTACCTATCAAGGTCAAATCGGTATCTTCAAACAATATATTTAGAGCCCCTTAAAAGCCCCTTCGACTCCTGCACCACTTGGTGCCTGGGGGGCAAGGGTCCCGACCACCTGGGTCGCCGACCTTCCCCTCACCAATCTACCGACCCTACCAAGGACTTACCAGCCGACAATGAGGTTGCTGCCTGATCACCATACCACCTACACATTTCCCAAAAATAAGGCAACAACGGCGACATGCAGCACGTTAACGGACCCGCGTAAGCGAAGGGCCACCTCACTCCAACGAGCTCAATCTCAACTCCTCGACCCACGGTCTTCGGAGCTCGGGGGGCTAATGTACTATCCGATCTGTGAAACCGAGCTCAGAGCTCGGCACCACGACACAGGATGACCTCGGATAGGCGTTATATGACGTCAGCCCGGTACTTAAGCAAATGATAACTGACCTCAAGGGATCTCACCCCAGGCGAGATATGTTATCTGATCTTATCATATCTTATCTCAGGCCTAGAGCCCAAAACAACCCTAACTCACACTAAGGTACGTGCATTATTTATACGAGACTCATACTCATACAAACCCTAACTTTAGCATCAAAATCTCTTTTGCAGGTACCTCCCCCATCTCGGAGCACCAATACACCACCAAAAGAGGCTCACCGGTCTTACTGGACGGATCACCACCACGACCAAATTCCGGTAAGAACAAATATATTTTGTATGAATTAAATAATATTATGAATTTTTGAAATAAAATAAAATAAAATTGATTAATTATGGTATGTGATTTTTGAGTTGAACTATATATATATATATATATATATATAATAAATAAATGAATAGGTCGTTATCATCAATTCTATGAACCATATCAACACAAATTGAAGTATTATGTATTGAAAATGATATACTATTTCTTGACAATAAAAAATGATTTATAATTACTTTTAGTAATGTTTAAAAATTAAAAAATAAGAAATGTATTTTTAATTTTAATTTTTAAATAATATTTATTTACAATTACAATTATATATATATATATATGTTAATTTATTTTTTTTAATATGTATTCAAAAAATATTGTATCCTATATTTTTTAAATTTGAAGTATTATGTATTGAATATGATATATATACATATATCACATTTGTACATCATAAACAATAATATAAAAAAAATGCTAAATATCAGTTAGAATCACATATTCCATGCACTCATGATCACCCAGAACATATAGAAAGTTTTTAAAAGTTGGAGCTTATTTTCTTTAACTTTTAAGAGATATGATTTTTTTTAAAGGATATTTAAAAATTGTAAATTATATATATATATATATATATATATATATATATATATATATATATATATATATATATTTATTGTATATT